CAAAGTCCCTATATACCCTTCGATTTGCACGAAATTTGGCATATCGTAATGAATTACGTCTAGAATGATGTGTGTTAAGTTTACTGAAAATCGGCCCAGATGTAGATATAGCTCCCATATATAATTTTGTCCGATTTAATGTAAATGTTGCACCAAAGTCCCTATATATATTTCGATTTGCACGAAATTTGGTATTGCGTAATGAATAAGGTCTAGAATTATGTGTGTTAAGTTTCGTGAAAATCGGTTCAGATTTAGATATAGCTCCTATATATTTTTTCTTCTGAGTGTGTGTAAATTGTGCACTAAAGACCCAAAGTTTGTCTGATTTCCACACAATTGGTACAATGAACTGTAGTTACTATAATACATTTCCTTTACATTACTTTATATAATTTTGTCCCATTGTAAGAAGCAACCCTATATCTGACCAAATGAAAACTTTAGTGTAGGTTACAGAATGACATGTTTATGGATCCATTTTCATGTTAATGGTCCTTCAAAAATTCGACGTCTGTTATGATTCATCTGTTGAATATACCCAAAGTGGTGAAGGGTATCATATAGTCGGCCCCGTCCGACTTTACTGCTTTCCTTACTGGTTTTTATTGTCCCAATATTACATTAAAATCTACGTAGCTGAAACGTAAATTTTTATAATACGATTTTTGGCGCATCCATAGAAACGTAGATCCTTATACCCACTACCAAAGGTGAAGTGTATCTTAAATTTATCATTCCGTTCACAACACCTGGAAATAATTGTATATATAAAAAATTGAAAATCGATTTTTGACATGGATTATTCTTGAGCAAAATAAAATTCGATGTCGCTTGCTATTGAAAATGGAAAATGGAAACTGACAGCAATTTAGTATTTATACCCTCAGTCTTATGGCTAATGAGGGTATACACTTTGGAAGGGCAAAAATGTTTCTCATCGAAATATTGGTTTCACATACCATGTTTCATATAATCCATTTCAGACAATCGATTTAGACATTTCGTCCGTCTCTGTGTCTGTCTGGCCCCGTAATATTTTTACCGGTCCCATCTTCAGTAAAAATATGACGTAGAGCAAAATATCGCTCTACTAAAAACCGCATTGAAAATATTCTTTTTTATGCAGGACAAAAAAACAAAACCCTTTAAGGGCTTCTATAAATTGATAGGTTTTCCTCTATTTATATTAGATTATTTTTATAAATAGAAGGTCGTTGTGAAATCTTCTATATAGAGAAGTCCCTTGGAAGACGACAGTGCAGATAAACTTCTTAAGAGGTCCTGTGTAGTTTGGAAACCCATGCTAACTTTTGTGTAAAGAGAACCCCATTACAGATCTTCAATTAAGGGATGACCTTCTTAGATGGTATACTATAGAATGAACATTTCTTTGAAAAATTGAGAAATTCCATTCAATTTTTTTAAATATATTGAGATAAATATTTTGGTGCAGAGAATACCCCATTTAGGAGATTTTCTACAGAAAGTATAAATTTGTGATAATTTCTTGTAATAAAAGAGATTTCTGAAGACTTTTGGATCTTTTATAGGTAAACAATTCTAAACTTCAAGTGTTTTCTAAAAAAAATTAAAGGTAATAAAGGTACATTTTAACCAATAGGTGCAAATGTACTTTAACAAAAATGTTCAAAAATTACAAAATTCAAAAAAATAATGTTTGTAATATTTGAAATTTACAGAAATCGAAGCCAAAAGTTAATAAATCCATTTTTTACTGGAGTTTACTGAGCATGTTCAAAGGTGCCCCAACTGTAGTATTTTATGGAAATTTAAGAGAAACTGATGAGGATCAGTGGCCTGAATATTTTGCAAAAAAATAAAAAATAATTAAATACAATTTATAATAAGGTTTTTAATTTAATTAAAAATTTACAAAAATACTGCGAAAACACCTAAAAAATGTTCACTCACCTAAATTTTTTTGGCAACTGAAAAAGCTAGCCAAACTTATGTAAGTTGCTAGAGAACAAGATTACCATATAAAAAATTGTTGCGAGTCGGAAAAATTTTAAAACGAGATTTTATGATTTTTTTTATAGGGGCACCTTTGAGCCCCTATAAAAAATGTTCGTAGTCTCTCAAAAACTACTGGACCTACTTTGACCAAACTGTATGCTTTTCTACTCAATGATCATCCAAAATATAAAATTACAGCCAAATATCGAAATTTAAGGGATACCGGTATATGAGGGCTCTCCCGGTAGCCCATTTAAGCAGGGATATTTTCTGCTCAATAGTATTAAGTTAGAAGCAATTTTGTTGAAAAATGTGTAAAAAGCTTCAAAATACTGAATATTGGGGGTACTGTTACATGGGTACTACCCTAAAAAGTGTACCAATACATTAAAAATATTGCTAAGGCAATACTACATTTACTGACGCAGTTTAATATAAAAAAACTCCAAATACTATTGCATTATAAAAAAGATTCCTTATCTGTAGGCCTATTCTGTAGCTTTTTAACAACATTCGACATTGTTTATTTTACAACAAATTCACTTTTTTTCTTTTTATAATAACAAAAGAAAACTAGTAAGGAAAGTTCAAAAGTCGGACGGGGCCGACTATATGATACCCTTCACCACTATGGGTACATGCAAGACATGTTAATATCTACAATATCCTGTAGATATAGAAATTTTGCATACATCAGTCGGGACCTAATTCAGTACTCTGTGCAAAATTTTGCTTTAGTCGGACCACTATTGGGAGTTTGGTGCACTATTTACATAAAATCGGACGAAACTATAAATCGGAGCTACATCTAAATCTAAACCTATTTCAACAAAACTTGGCATATAACTATCTAGACCTAATTCAATACTCTGTGCAAAATTTTGTCTCAATCGGATCACTATTGGGAGTTTGGTGCATCAATAAGTTATCTAAATCTGAACCGATTTTCTCCAATTTCAATAGGGCTCGTCCTTGGGCATATTAAGTGACCTGTGACAAAATTCATCCAAATCGGATCATAAATGTGACATGTACAAAAACAAATATACATGAGTGATTCTATGCATATTCTCAAAAGGAACCATGGGTCTATTTCGATTTCCTTGCTACAAACATATGCACAAAGACACAATACCCTGTACCACAGTGTGGTGAAGGGTATACAAAGGGGGTTATATGTGGACTACCCCTAAAAGGGGGCGATTATTAATAATTTTTGAGAGGGGGTTTGTTACCATATACGACTACAAGAAACCAAATTACAAAGAATTTGGTTGAAAAACGCGCTTAAGAACCCCAAAATACCGAAAATTGGGGGGTACCCTTATATGGGGGCTACCCGAACAAAATGGACATATATTTATAATTTTTAGTAGGGAGATTTGCTACCCAATAAGAACTCAAAGTACCAAATTTCAGCGGATTCGGCCGAAAGATGCGATCAAAACCCCCAAAATACCGAAAATACCGAAAATACCAAAATTGGGGGGTACCCTTATATGGGAGCTATGCCTAAACGTGGACCGATTATCTTCAATTTCAATAGGGTTCGTCCTTGGGCCAATTAAGTGACCTGTGCAAAATTTCATCCAAATTGGATCATAAATGCGACCTGTACTTTGTTAACAAAAATACATGGACGGACGGACAGGCATAAATCGACTCAGAAAGTGATTCTATGCATATTCTCAAAAGGAACCATGGGTCTATCTCGATTATTTTTGTCTGTTACAAACATATGCACAAAGACATAATACCATGTACCACAGTGTGGTGAAGGGTATAATTAAACAATATCGAATGTTGTTAAAAGTTACAGAATAGGTTTTAGCCCCAAAACTCACTCAATCTGGCAACCCATTCACTCAAATATATAACGGTAACAATGAAATAACCAACTATCGATTACACCCACACGTTAGGAAATTCGCATAACAAATAATCGTTCTCCCCAACAGGTTCAACCAAATTCCACAAAAATGGCAGTTCAATATTCGGTTGGACGGCAAACAGAGCGCGAGCGAAAATCCTTTTGTGTGAAGTGAAAACTTTGGGGGTTGTCTACTCTGTGTTATTGTCTATGGTCTCTCTCATTTTTGAGAGAGCACTCTCTCAGCGATTGTGTTCCTTTGTGTGGAGAGTGTTCGTGTGTGTCGGCCATTGTTAGTTTGTCGCGACTACACTGCTGGTTGGTTGGCTGGCTGGCTGGTTGATTGTTGGTTAGTTGACTCGATTCGATTCTCTCAGGTCGTTACATCTGTAGTGGTGGCAAAAGGACGATGAGCAAAACATTACACAGCACAAACAACAGCAGAACATTTATTCCAAATTTTACCATAAATAGTTAACTAATAAATAATCAAGTGTACATAATTGTAATAAATATTAACGGTAGTTTTAGAATTCAATAAAAGTAAGATGATTTTGTGACAGAACTTGCCGTGGAAAACGCAAAAAAAATCGGAACTCGAGCAGAACGGGGAAAAAAGAAAGAAAATTGAAAATTTGCGAATGGCCATATTATAGTTTGTCGAACGAAAATGTCGTGGACGTGAGGAGCAGCACCACCATCATCACCAACGAGCAGCCGTGAGAAATCGATACGACGATGGTATACACATAAACAACATTCCAAAAGAGGAAAGGCAAAAAAACCAAAGCTAAACGAAAACCAAACGAAACGAAGAAAAGAAAAACAGTCAAAAGGATTGTCATTCACACACAACACAAGACGAAGAAAAAAGTAAAAAATGAAAAACCGAGATAAAAAATCGCAACACAAAAACGGAAGAAATTCGTATTATTATTCTTATATATAGAAAAGAATTAAATTTGGATTTTGATTTTTAAAAACAAATTTAATATATATATATACATACTTATATATACACCACCACCACAACCAACCAACAACATACATCGCTCTCTCTCTATATATATCATAGTTTAAACAAAAAGAAAAAGGAAGAAAAAAAGAAACGAAACGAAACGGAAAGATAAAAAAATTCTACAAAAGATTTAAATAAGTTATCAACAAAAAAGGCAAAGAGAAAAAAACAACCAACCAAATGGAATCTAGAAGTTAAGGTGAGTTCTGTTTTCTTTGTGGAAAAAAAACAAAAGCATCCTGCAGGAGGCTATAATACCCCGCAGGAGAACTCAAGATGTACATGTCCATATATATATTCGGTTGTTCGTCATAGAAAGTGAAGTTAGTTAGTTTTTCGTTTGCATTTTCGTTATCCTGCCCACCAACATTCACCACCACCACCCGACCACCCTCGGACGAAGGATATAAATTTTTGTGTGTGTGGCCAGAAAAGAAGGAACTTGGGGAAAAAACGAAAGATTTTTTTTTTGTTGAAAACTGAAGGTCGCCCCAGTGTATTATTTTTCAGATGAAATTTAATTTTTGTATTTCTGCAATGTTATAGAACTGCCAAATGGACTCTGTTATTTTGCTAATCATAAAATTGGACTCTAAAACGGTGTGTGCGAGTGTGTGTGTGTCAAAAGTGAAAAAGTGGATATGCATATAAACAGAAATTAAAGGACTTTTTTCCATTGCAAAAACTGAAAGACAGAAAAAAATGGTTTGTTCAAAGTGAAATGGGTTAAAATCGTTTGTGATGTTGTGTCGCCGTTCGTCGTTATGATGTGTTTGCCAGCCTGTCACCGAAACGTTGCCAGGCAGCCAGGCAACAATTAATGTAAGGTTTCGTGCAAGTACCACCACCCATATTTTAATTTTTGCATATTTGTGTTCTTTGGTTAAATTAAAAAAAATGTAAAACCCCATTTAAACTCTTAAAAAGGTGTGCTTAGCATACAAGGACAAGGAAAATTATTTTCAAATTTCCATATCCAAAAAATTTCCCAAAAATTACATTTTAATTTATTTATGGTGATCCAATAATTATCTATGCCTCCAATTTAGTCTTTTTCGCCTCTCATTTTCTACAAATTAGTTCTGTATTTTATTTGATTTGAATTTATTTTTCGCATTGATACCTTTTCTCAGGAATTGTATTATTGTTTTGTCTAATTTGTCAATTTCTTTTATTTTTTTTTTCATTCACCCTCATCCCCTTGTTTCTCTCTTCATCATCATCCTCATCATCATCACTGTTATCCTTTGACGATGAAACGAAACGAATTTGGGTATCATAACTTTTCTGTTGTTGTTGTTTTTATTGCCTTCTGTTCTGTTTACCTTCAATATAGACATTGTCTACCACCCCACAAGCTTTATGAAATGAAGTGGCGGGGGGGATCAAGCCCCCGCACACACATATTTTGCACATAATGGACCATCAATCGCAGAGAAGAAGTGAATATTTAAATATTTATGGAAGGGTTATTAATGACCATATGATCCATGGAATATGTAATCGACAAACTGAAGAAAAATTTGTCCCGACAATTTTGAAAACAATTCTCAGGGTCAAAACCATGGGCATATTGGAGAGTAGGAAGTTATCACCATTTTGTCGCGGATTCTCCCCTAGAAAACAAATAAAAATGACATAAAATCTGCACCACATAAAATGTTAAGTCGTTGAAAGAATTTAACTTTATTGTGAAACAATATCGCCACACACCATTGGATTTTGTGGAGGTACGTCAGAGGTTTTAGGCCTAGATAGTCCAAATGGATAATCGATTTTTTTTAAATGACGAAAGTCGGACGGGACGACTATATGATCAGCAACTTTGTGTATACACTCAGATCCTATGATTTCGATTGTAATCTATAGTAATAAATATACCGATTTAATTCAAATTTTACAAATGACCGATTGTGGACCGATTTAAAACAAAATTTGACATAATTTTCAGGAGGTATGCTGTGCAACATGTCATGACAATTTGCGTGAAATCGGAAGAAAAAAAAACAAGTAGAATCGTCGTTAAATTCGGTCGGGTCGAACTTATTGTACAATATGATCGTATATTGATGGTTTGTACAAGATTTGCTACTCAATGTGAATTCCAAATACCAAAATTCAATCAATTCTGTTAAAAAATATTCCTATATTACCCAAAGCATCGAAATTTGGAGGTTATCGTTATGTAAAAAGTGGACCAATATTGATTTACTACCCAATTTGAGTTCAATAAACCACATTACAGTCCATTTGGTTGAATTGACCCAAACATATATATATATAAGATTTATCTAAATCTACACCGATTGGTGTAGGGTATTACAACGTACAGAATTATTATATAAATAACTAAAAAGTTGTTAAGTTCATACCAGCCGAACTTTTTATACCGTATATCGTATCGTGGACATTTATATAAATTGGAAGCTGTTCCATGGTACATTACAGCCAAACACCAAATAATAGCCGGTACGGTAATATCAGAAAAAAGTAGACCAATATAGACGATTTGTAGTAGAAAACTGAATTGTAAATTCAAAATACCCAATTACAGTCAATTTCATTTGATAAACGTGTCCAATCTCTCGAATATACCGAACTTTTGGAAGTGCCGTCATATGGAGGCTATCGTAAAAAAAGTGGATCAATATTGATAATCTTTGGTAGGAGGATGAATTCAAAATACCAAATTACAGTCAATTTGGTTAAAAAACATGTCGAATCTCCCCAAAATACGGACATTTGGGAAATAAAACTATATGGGGGCTATCGTAAAAAGTGGACCAATATCGTACATTTTCAGTAGGAAGGTTTGATAGTCAATAAAAAAAACTTAAAATACAAATGTACAGCCAATTCGGTTGAACTGAATGTTTGGGGTTCCGTTATATGAGAGCTATACCGAAACGTGGACCAATATATCCCATTTTAATACCAAACGTCCTACCAGTAATAAATCAACATAAAATGCTATTCTGATCAAGAAAGTTGATATATTTGATGGTGAATATTTAGAGGTGTTGCAAACGGATTGACAAATTTAAAGTATGCTCTACCTTATGATGGAGGGTATAAAATACATTTTGCATAGAGTCGTCTTTTGTCTGCAGGCAGGTCAAGATCGAAGATGGGCTTTATCGGTCCACGTTTAGGCATAGCTCCCATATAAGAATACACCCCAATTTTCGGTATTTTGAGGTTCTTGAGCGCGTTTTTCAACCGAATTCGCTGAAATTTAGTAAATTGAGTTCTTATTGGGTAGCAAATCTCTCCACCAAAAATTATAAATATGGGTCTATATTTTCGGATAGCCCCCATATAAGGGTACCCCCAATTTTGCGGTATTATGGCGGGTTTGATCGCATTTTCGACCGAATTTCCTGAAATTCGGTACTTTGAGTTCTTATTGGGTAGCAAATCTCTATACTAACAATTATAAATATATGTCAATTTTTTTCTGGTAGCCCCCATATAAGGATACCCCCCCAATTTTCGGTATTTTAGGGTTCTTGAGCGCGTTTTTCAACCGAATTCGCTGAAAATTGGTATTTTGTAGTCGTATATGGTAAAAAATCTCCCCACCAAAAATTATTAATATTCACCTCTTTTTAGGGGTAGCCTCCATATAACCCCCTTTTTATATTAAAATAGTTATTTGATTTGTTCCGTGTGTTGTGATTGGGTAGTCGTTACAGGGAATATTCAATTTTTACCCTACAACGACTATTTAGCCATCTGTTGTAAGCATCCCACCCTCTAAAGATATTGTGATAAAAAAATTCAAACATGAGGATAATGATACCTCCTGAAGGAAAGAATTGAGATAAACAAAATTGAGAATTGAGATTCAAAATTGGCATATACCGGTCATTAATTATGCATAGCCCTCATATAGTGATATCCCCAAACATTCACTATTTCCTACATTATGTAATCAATATTGGTCCCCCTTTAGTCATAGCCTCATATAAATTTGTAATTTAAATTACAGGAGTTTGAGGATTTTATACTCTACCATGCGTTATCAGTATCTGTTCACTTTTTGGATCTTACAGATTTTAGGAAAAATCCCCATTAAAATTGCTGAAGTTTGTATTTGGTGCACATAATACCCACTTTCGGTATATGCCCACTTGTAGAATTATCGGTATATGCCCACTTTCTGGTATCTGCCCTATATTTTCATTGCATGTATCTGTTAGTACTATGGTGGGGGTATCCAAAGTTCAGCCCGGCCAAACTTAACGCTTTTTAAATTGTTGCGCTTTTTCAGGAGTGATTTATTTACTCCCATTTTAGGCACGAAAACGTCGAACATTTATAAAATAGAAGAGATGTTCAATTAAAAATGTGAGGTTTAAACAGCACTGCGTAGTCAAAATAAGTTTTGGCTAGAACTCCGGACTCCGGAGTGTAATTCGACTATCAATTCTTACATTTGCAAAAATTGCATATTAAGTTTTTTTTATTAAAAACAAATCATATTCTTCAATATACTTTTATAAAGTCTACATTGAAACGTAGAAATTATATGTATAAAGTTTTCGGATTAATGTTTGTCTGATTGGACGTCTCTGACTTCGGAGCCATGGTGCAAAGGCAAGATATCTCTCATTTCCTTAACCATAGGTCAATAACCGGGTGCATGTGTACCTTTTTTTCCTTAATTAAAGATGCAGGATAGTCCGTATTTTGGGGTTCCTGAGCGGGTTTTTGAACCGAATTCGGTGTCATTTGTAGTCGTATATGGTAACAAATTTCCCTCCCAAAAATTATTAACGTTTGAGCTCGTTTTTCAAACGAATTCGTTGAAATTTGGTACACTGGGCTTCTATTGGGTACCAAATTGACGGTACCAGTATTTCAGTATTTTGTGGGTTTTGATCGTATTTTCTACCGAATTGGCTGTTATTTAGTATTTTGAGTTCTTAATTGGTACCAAATCTCTCGACAAAAAATCATGATTACAGGTCAATTTTCGGTATTTGGTGTTATTAAAATATTTATCTTATTTGTTCCGAGTTTTGGGTTCAGAAACAAACCTCGGTAAGATTCGATAATGAACTATAGTCCCCATTTAGGCTTGGGCCTAGCCCCTGTGTGGGAAGTACCAGAAGGAGTGGACCGTTATTCCCCATCTTCGAACTTGAACTAACTAACTTTGGAAGAAATAATAAGAAGTTTGGATGAAATCCAAATTTTCTTGAACGGATTTGGTCCAAAGAAACATGTGGTCTAGAACGAATATTTCGATGAGGCATATTTTCACCGTATCAAAGTCTATATACACCCTCATTAGCCATTAGTCTGAGAGTATTTGGTCTACGTTATAGTTTTAATAATCGGTTTGTAGAAATGTCGGTACAGGTCAACTTTTTGGTATGTCCCCTATGTATATCTATGGTGAAGGGTAACCCAAATTCAGCCCTGCCGAACTTAACGCCTTTTCACTTGTTTATATTAACCCTTTGAGACCCGAATTGTTTTCCACAACCTTAGAACAAATTTCTGTTCACAGATTTAATGGAAATATCCTAAATAGGATATGCACAAAATTTTACATCGCTACATCCTTGCATTCGGGAGATACAGTACATTCTTTCTGAAAAATAAAATTCCAATATCAAGAAAACCAAATGCAAAATCGACAGAAAAATCATTTTAAATTAGTCTCTATATTAATTTTTACAAGAATTAAAAATATTTCTGATGGCAGAATTCATAAAACGATTTAAATAATTTGGACTACATACACAAATTAGTACTGTACACAAAATTACCTTCTTCTCTATATTGAATTTACTTTTGATATGTGTCGTCCATAATCAGGTATTGACATATAAAATCCATATATATATATATATATATATATATCTACTAGCTGTATATTAACAATAAGATCTAAAACATTTTGTAGCCTGTGGGCAACATTGGGCCACAAAGGGTTAAAATAGTTATCTGATTTGTTCCGCGTTTTGGGTACTCGAAAGTATGGAATTCAAGACGATACCCATCTGTTGCAATCATTCTACCCTCGGAGAAAGGTATTGTGAAGCAAACATGTTAGGTTCGAGCTTGAGCTATATCAGTCTTCAATTAGGCATATCACCTCATATCAATATTGGTCCCGTTTTAGGTATAGCCTCCACGGACGTGTGCATACATTTTTTCCAGCAATGACAATTTTCATATTGAACAAGCAGATTCAACTCCACCTTGTAACAACAGCGAGCTTTTCTGGTACAATATCCGAATAATATTTTGATTTACGTGGTTTTATTGAGATGGAATATTGGGAATTTTTTCCTTGAAGAGTCCACCAATATTTCGGTTTGACATTGCGCTTGTTCGAAAACCTTGTTGTGAAAAACTCATTAGGAAGACTTCTGAAGAACCAAACTTCAAAAATTGTATATCTAGCACCGTAATTTAAATATAAATTTAAATTCTTTCATCAACCGTGTGGTACAATTTCTAATCTTTGTTCAAAATAAATACCTCGTTAAGGTGATGATGAGATAAATGCAGTAGGGACATCCCCTGCCGGTTGGAGGTTGTAGTCGTCGATTGCATTAAATTTCAGAAGTGAAATATCCTCGGGTTTGTTCATGATTAGGTAGCACAGGGTGATATTAGTACCGTTAACTGTTAATTGCGACGGTTATATATATATATATATATACAACAAGCCTTAGTGAACAACAATTCATCTTTGATATGTCTATGTAGAGAATTGTTTTTATTCTGAGAATATATACAATAATTGGAAATTCCTAATTGATGTGGATTTCCCATGATTCATAGTTGTGGTAGTTAAGAAGTATGTGTGTTGTAGAAAGGAAAGTAAAATGAAAATTGAGTAGTAATAACAATCCTTTTTACCAGTTCGTATTTGCTTGTTGGTGACATCGCATTGTTGAAGATATCCACGCCCTATTTATAAGATCTACGTGGAGGCGAATAAATGTCTTAGTCTTGAATTGCTGTCAACTTTTTAATCGCCAAATGCCAACCAGAAAATTAAAAAAACTCAAAAAAATCCTTCAAAGAACGCAATAATATTATCGTACAAGTATATTTTCGAATAAAAATATGTTTTTGTTTATTTATACTTCAAATAATAAATTTTACAAATTAAGATTTCAGCTGGCCTACGATTAACCTTATCAATAAACCTTGAAAATATCCCTTCGTTTGAAATAGTTTTCCCCCCAAATTTTTTCGAATATATTTTATTAATAATAGGAATAAATTTTTTCGCTCAAAAATAATATAGACTGTGTTGTTGAATACCGCAATATACATTTTAAATCTGTTTTATGACTCTTCCTCTTCCAAAACTAATTTTAAACTGATTTCTGCTCCACGTTGCTATGCCCAAAGTAAATCTCAAAACAACAGATTTATTTTGAATAAAATTGCTTCACAATTAATTTTCATCAGTGTAGCCTAATATATTAGCTAATATTACCATACATGACTCCTCCAAAAACATTTCACTTCATAATTTATAATAATTTCCATTCTGTTTTTTTCCAATTTTCCAGAATATTAACGACCATGCAAAATATGCTTTCGCCAAAAGCCAATCAATTGTGCTCGAATATTGGTAGCTGTGAAACGGATCATCATCACAATCAAATGCATTCATCATCACATGGTCATGGGCATTCGCACAACAATGGCCAACAACAACAGCAGCAGCAACAACAACAGATGCATCATCAGCATATGCATCAACATCATCAGCACCATCACCAGCAGCAGCAACAACAACAGTCACAGATGCAAATGCAGTTGCAGCAGCAGCAACAGTCATCGCATCACCATCACAGCCAACAACAGGCGCAGCAACAACACCACCAACATCAACACCAACATCTGTCATCGGTTATGAATCGACGTGGCAGCAGCAGTAGCGTCCTGCCACCACACATGACACAGTTGTCACTCAGCAGTAGTGGTGGTGGCAACAATGGCTCTGCTGCTGCCTCTGCCTCCAGTTGTGTGGGCAGCAATACAACACTGCGACGAAAATCATCCCTTAGCTATCAGCAACAATTGATGGGCAACACATTACAATGCAGTTCGGATATAACCTCCGACTGTGGTACTGAAATATCACCGGGACATTTTAGCCCACATCCCAATGAATTGTACCTACATCACTCGCACACACATCAACAGCAACAACAACAGCAGCACCAGCAACAACAGCATCATCAACAACATCATTCACAACAGCAACAACATCCACCACCCCATGTCAAACTAAGTCTGCAACCAATAGAACGTTACGATGACTCGTTGGCCTGCAGTTTGCCACCACCCTCACCGGCGCCCAACAGTGATCGATTTATTGATGGAACATGTGTGGTCTCACCACCCAGTGGTCACAGTGATGGCCACCCCGGTGATGATCATTTGCCGCCCGCACATCATCATCACCATCATCACCCACAACAACAGTCGCAGCACCACCACCACCAACAAACGTTGTCATCTTCCACCTCGAACTCGTCAATATCAACCGGAGGTTTGGGTAACTGTTCATCATCAGTGGGGGCGGCAGGGGCATCAGCTATTGCCTGTGGACCAATGAACGCCTCACTGCAGCGTGTCAGCCATCATGGACTGAAATATGGTGGTGCGGGACAGACAATGCAGAACCTGCAGCGTTCTGCTTCGCCCAACACCAGCCGTTATCGTCTGAATGGTGAGCATCATCGTTATCGCGATTTGAATACCGGTTCCAATGCCTCCTCTTCCTCATCCTCGAACACAAATGCCACGGTAGCTGCATCAGGGGTGTCAAGCCAAACGGGACGCTTTATGAGTAACTCATCGAGTCATTATTTGAAAAATTGCCCCTCATCGTTAGTGCCGAGCGATACCTACAGCTATTTGGCCTCGTCGGCCCATACACCGGTCAAACGTTATGTACCCACCCCACCACCTCCACATGAGCTCTACGTTGCCGATCATCATTCGCATGGACATTACAGTAAGCCACAAGCCTCCTCGACACAACATCAGCAGCAGCAACAACAACAGATGTTGCAACAGCAGCATCAACAACAATATGCAGGTGGTCCATCGGCTGTAACCACAACGAAATGTGGACCTCAATCCTCGTCTTCACCCAGTACACTGCCATATCGCAATCGAAATTTAAAATGTTGTTCGTCGGAACAGCAGATCGCTGGCAGCAGTGGCGAACTGCAACCTCTGTCTAGCCTGAATCAAACGAAAGAACATTACGCTTCATCGCCCCGAATACGAAGTAGCCAATATGGTGGACCCACGGCAATTGGAGGTTCTAAACTGCCGGGCAAAGATTCTCCGGTGGTTCATCATCATTTGATAAGTGGTGGTGAGGGTGGACAGGGTATTATGGCGGCAGCCCACACCTACAACAAGACCTTCAGTATGATGACCACCCAGTGTAGTGTGGTGAATCAGCCGCATATGGTGGCCACCATTACCGCCGTGGGCTGTGTCAGTTCTCCCCAGAGTAGTCTGAATATTACCAGTACCGTGGCACGATCTCAGCTACCGCCACCCGTCTATGGTAGCAATCAGCGCAGCATGGCCAGCGGCACTGGCATATGTTCGCTGATTAACGATATGCAGGAAATGTCTTCTACGCTAAGTGCCACAATGTCACAGAATGTCAGTGATGTAGCCACAGCAGCGGTGGCGGGACTTTGTAGCACCAGTGGCCTGCGGAAAGACGAGTCAAGTTCGGCAGCCACGGGAAGCACAACCGGATTGGTATTAAGTTCAACGGCTGTGGGGAGTTCGACAACCTCCGCTGCCACCTGTTTACACTGCAAGACAGTGCGACGCACCACAGGTGTTCATCAGACCACACAGACAACTGGTCCCATTAGTCCAGTACCTCAATTGATGCCAACGACACCATTGGCAGGGGCTGCAGTGGCGGGACCCAGTTCCAGTGGTTCTCTCAGTAGCACAAACACTGCCGGCAACAATCAAAGATATTTGGAACAGCAGCTGGCGAACATGTCATCATTAACACCCACCAATGCCGCCAACACGACCACCACCAACAACAGCAACAACATCACCAATGAAATGAACCACTTAACACCTCTAACGCCGCCAAATGCCAGCGGTACCGGAGTCGGCGGTAATGTTATGGCGCCGGGACAACAACCGCTTGTCAACCGCATGCTCAATACCCAAAAGAAACAACAGCAGCAGCAACAACAACAGGATCTGATGGCAGAGCAAATGTACAGTCAACTGAAAACGAGTACCAATCAAATGATGCAGCAGGCCCAGCAGATCATCAATGCGGAATATCAAAATCAGCAGCAGTTCCAGCAACAACAGCAGCAGCAACAACAACAGCTTCAGCTACAGTTACAACAACAGCAGCAACAGTCGCCTCAACAGGCCCAGGCCTCATCTATGGAACAACATTATATGGTACCCTCAGCTATGCGCACCTATCAGCCTCAACCTCAGGCCCAGGCCATGCAAGCGAATCCGCAACCATCCGTACAACTTGCTCAGCAGCCACAGCTACAAATACAGGCTGCACCGGCCACACAACCTCAGGGCCAACCCTCAGCCGCCGCTCTCAGCACAATAAATCAACAGCAGCAGCAACTACAACAGCGCTACTCGTGTAAAAAACGATTCACCGAATATATGCGTCGTGAGGTAATGCGATTCTTCGGCCTTGAACTTACCACCGAGGTTGAAGATTTTGCCCTGTGGCAGGGTCGACAACGTCGTCTGGCCATACGACGTTTTGGCACCCTGAAAACCGAAACCGCTGAAATACCTGAAGGCTGTGCGCTGGACAACAATGGCTCCGCGGCCGGAGGTGCCAATCAAAATTCCCATTGTTCTGGTTTCAATAATGGCGCCCAACATTCACACAATCACTATCACCACCAGCAGCAGGCACAGGCGGGTCAGCAGCAGCAACAACATCATCACCATCACAACCACTCGCACAACCATTCGCATCATCATGCCTCGGAGAGGCCTGACATTCTGCCCGACACAGCCGATGATGATGACACCAGCAATGGCAACGACAGTGTTGGTTCCGGTGGCAGTGGAGGTGTGTTAAGGCGCCGCGGCCACTATCAGCGTGATCATTTCCATCATCCCTACTACAACATAGACTTCCGAGCGGGCGATCATGTGGAACGCAAACCATCCGTTATGTCTATGCTGGTTTCAGGCTGTAGCTATTTGGTCAATGCCCTCAACAAGCGGCAAATGGATTTCCGCCAGCGACGTCAATGGTCACGCAGTTTTGCTCCCGCTCATGTACAGAATGTCCAGAATTTGGATGGAACGGCTGGGGCAAACAATGAAATCTATGAGGGTGTTGCAGCCCTGAACGATGAGGTCTTCTTCGATTCACCATCCGGCATGGATGCCAACAACACCGCAAACAATGGCTCTTCCACATCGGGTGCCGCTGGCACACCGGCCAACAGTAACAATCCTAATGGAAATGCGGCGACGGCGGCAGCACGCTCTACCGCTGGACCGCAAATATTCAATGGCGCCCAACAGGGTTGGCGTACCACCAACAACAGTACCAGCGTTAATCACAACGAAGCGGCCAATCTGCAACAGGCTGTGGTTTTACATGGCTCCGTACAGGATCAAGACAACTCCCCACAACAAGCGGTTCAGCAACAACCCCAAATACCCGGCATTCGTGCCAATCGCATTTCATCACAAATACTCGATGGTGTTCTGGAGAACTCCCGTCGTCCGATGGCGCAAAAAATAAAACTATTCTGTGTTAATGATCTCGATGATCGTACCGATCATAGACCCTTTTTCACCTATTGGATTAATACTGTACAAATTATCGTATTATTTTTATCGCTGCTGTGCTATGGCATTGGGCCGATTGGCTTTGGGGTGGAACAGCGCACAGGCCAGGTATTGGTCACCAGCCTCAGTTTACAAACGGTGCAGCATACGGAACAGCGCAACATATGGATAGGACCGCGTAATCAGGATTTGGTGCATATGGGTGCCAAGTTTGCCACGTGTATGCGGCGTGATGTAAAAATTATAGATGTAATGATGAAGACCCGACGTCAGGAGCGTGAGACGGCCTGTTGTATAAGGAATGACGATTCGGGTTGTGTACAAAGTTCACAGGCAGACTGTTCAGTGAGGGGGCTGTTTCCAACGGTAAGTCTTCAAAGACCCACTTATGTTGCTTCCTATATTAATTTTTTTATTTTCTTTTTACAGAAATCCATATCAACTTGGAAGAAATGGTCACCCGGTGAATCGGGGCCCGGCGGTCGCATTTCGGGCTCTGTATGCGGCCTGGATCCCAAATATTGTGATGCACCCGCCTCCATTGCTCCGTATGAATGGCCCGATGACATTACCAAATGGCCAATATGCCGTAAAACAAATTCATTCTCGCAACGTTTTCGTTTCAAAGATCACACCGCTGAACATATGGTGTGCGAGGTCATTGGTCATCCCTGCTGTGCGGGTATATATGGTGAATGCCGCATAACGACTCGGGAATATTGTGATTTTGTAAATGGTTATTTTCATGAAGAGGCATCACTTTGCTCACAGGTGAGACATACACACAGATATACCTATCGAGGGATACCAAATCATATAATTTATTCCTTTTGTTTGCAGATCTCATGCTTAAACAATGTCTGCGGCATGTTCCCATTTGTAAATGTCGAAGTTCCCGATCAATTTTATCGCCTCTTTACATCGCTGTGTATGCACGCTGGCATTTTGCATTTAATGATAACCGTGATATTTCAACATGTGTTCTTGGCCGATTTGGAGCGTTTAATTGGACCCGTCCGAACGGCCATCTTGTATATAGGTTCGGGACTAGCTGGCAATTTGACAAGTGCCGTCTTAATGCCATATAAACCAGAGGTAAATAATTAATTGTTTTTGTTATTTTAGTTTATTTTGAATCTATTGAAACAAAATATAACCGATAAAGGTTGAAGGCGGGGTAGGGTTCGTGAATATTTTTTTTTTAATTTTCAAAGTGTCTTTTAAATAATCGAGCACATGGTTTGGGGGAATGGAAAATTCCTTTGTCGAGTATATTAAGTACCCAGATGAATCTAGGCTTAAATCAGTACTCTATGCGTGCCAATCGAGAGATATATAGGGTCTTTGATGCACCATTTACATAAAATCGGACAAAACTATATATGGGAGCTATATCTAAATCTGAACCGATTTTCACGAAACTTAGCACACATCATTCTTGACCTAATTCAGTACTATTTGCCAAATTTTGTGCAAATCGAGAGATATATAGGGACTTTGGTGCACCATTTACCTAAAATCGGACAAAACTATATATGGGAGCTATATCTAAAACTGAACCGATTTTTCCCAATTTCAATAGGGTTCGTCCTTGTTCCGAATAAGTGACTTGTGCCAAATTTCATCCAAATCGGATCATGAATGCGACCTGTACTTTGCTTACAATTTAACATCTACAGACGGACAGACGGACGGACATGCATAAATCGACTCAGAAAGTGATTCTATGCATATTCTCAAATGGAACCATGTGTCCATCTCGATTCCTTTTGCCTGTTACAAACATATGCACAAAGACATAATACCCTGTACCACAGTGTGGTGAAGGGTATAAAAAGTTTTTCCCTAACCTAACATGTTATTTAGGCTATACTCATACCATTGTCAATTAAGATAGCTATGCGTATACTTAATACTGTATTAGTTATACGCATTGTTGACCCATCGTATTTACAATAAATTGATTTTCACATAATTTTTAAAGAGGATCATTACTTGAACTGTATGATTTTATAAATTTGCTAGGGTTTGACCGATAAACAGATTTTCAAATGTCAATTTCAGAATTATATTACGTCAAGCCTGTTCAAAGATATCCAGTACGACTGTTTGCTTGTCCTTATCTGTATCTATGTAATGTCTATATTTCACATCATATAGACATTACGTAGATACAGATATATTCAAGATCCTATATTGTTTAATACTTAAATTAAATTAGGTCAACGAATTTTCCGCAATTCTTTATTCCAATTTTATACCACGACCAAAAGATGGAAGGTATATTCGCCGACGGACCCTATGGCTATTTACCACATCCTACCTTTCGGTACCCCCAACTTTCGGTATATTAAGGTTTTGATGGGATTTTTCGATCGAATTTACTGGTCCAAAAACGAACCCTGTTAAAATCGATTAAATTCGGTTCAGATTTAGATATAGCTGCAATTTGGTATTTTGGATTCCTATCAATAATATCTCCCTTTTGGAAGCAGTCCCTTTTTTTTATTAAAATATTTAACTGATTTTTTTCGCGTGTTGGGGTTGCCCCCATATAACATACCATAGAATGGGGAATTTTCTCAACTCGAAAATTTCTGTTTATAGCCGACAAGGTATGGTATTTTAAGCCTATTTAACCAATTGTATCCGACTATAGGTAGGCTTAAATCATCTTATCTTAAGGGGGTATCGAGGTACAAAACTAAACGAAAATGTTCTATATCCTCAATTAATGATGCATCCCAAGTTATATATGGAGATATAAAACTAAAAGGTTCGGTTCGAAAATTAGTTATATGGGTTCACATTTAGGCATCCTATATATTGATATCTTCCGATTTTCGGTAGATCCTACCATAGTTATTCAATATTGGTCCCATTTTTAGTCTTTAGATACACGCCCTACTCTGTTATCAATATAGGTCCACATTTTGGAGTTTTAAGATTTCAGAAAAAATCTCCATTAAGTCTGGGTTTATATATGCAACTCTGCTGCTGCTCTCTTCGATTCTCTTTTGAATTTCTTCCCCCTTGCCTCTTTTTATACCTCTCACTTCTACGAACTCAGCAAAGTTTCTTATAAAAGTTGCATGTGTAAACCCAGTCTAAAAGTCGCTTCAATTTATATTTGTTATTTCTATTATAATTCTGCCCGTTATCTATTGCATTGCCAATACAATATGGTGTAAACTTTAGGAAATTCGCCATGAAAATTGCAATTTAGAATTCTGGTCTCCAGTAGTGACTATGATATTATTGGTAAATATTGTTCAAATAGGTTCATTTATGTGTTCTTAAGATCCCACCCACAAATCGGGATACAAAATTAAGTAGATCGTCACAGATTTGATTTTTCCTCCTTAATGCGATATTTATGTACGACTAGAGTAACTTGATCAAATATGCAACCGAATGTAAAATTAGTTTTTGAGTTAGTGCTGTCACTGCCACTCAGGATATACAATCTTGAGTGGTTGTTATTTTCACATGAAATTTTTATGGGCATCTTTGTGTAGCTATATGTTCAAATAAAATATTTTTTTAAAAGCGAATGTACTTCTCCTGCCATTCATTATATACCCCTACGCGAAGATAAATTTTAGCGATATATTTTGCCTTAGTCGTACAGACTTGTTTCAATAAAAAACGTTGATGCTTTTTAAAGAGGCTCGTCTATATTGTTATAGATTCGAACTAAATAAGAATTCTAAAATCTAATTTTTATAACGGAGAATGAGGACAGCATCCCTTTTTAAAAATTTTATATTAAGATTCCAAAATATCATTTCTAATCATTTGTTTCGTAATGCAGTAAAATTACATGGAGGGGAAATTTTAAAATGCAAGTATTTTTTTAATATTATTTTCGTACACAAAAGGCCTCCCCGGTACTACATTATCTTAAGCTAGTAGTATCATTACATAAATCAATTCTAAGTATCAAAATGGCTAACAAATCGCGTACTAACTAATTTAGAATTATTTTCATGGCTAAAACAATAAAACCCTTCCAAATAAATATGATCAGACTCAATCTGTATTTTATTAATATATTATTATATTTAATTTGTTTTATAGGTGGGTCCACTAGCATCGTTATCGGGTGTTATAGCATCACTGATGGTACTATTAATATTATCGCATTGGCAACATCTGCATAAACCGCATGTGGCCCTGTTCAAGTTGATGTTTGTGGGCGCCATACTCCTCGCTATTGGAACGCTGCCATGGCAGCTGAATTTTGCCGGTATTTTTGCGGGTATATTCAGCGGTATAATTCTAACAATAGCTTTAGTGCCATTCGTTAGTGTCACCAAATATCGGCGTAAATCAAAGGTAAAATTTAAAATTTAAAAATATATATTTAACAGATTTTAATGATTTTTTTCTCTTTTCCTTATTAATCTCTCTGTCTCTTTCACAGATAAATTTAATATGGTTTTGTATTATATTCCATGTATTCGTTTATGCCACAATGTTATTAATTTTCTATATGTTCCCCACTGAATTAACCAAGCTAAGTTTTGGAGAGGTGCTCACGAATAGTTTTAACAATGGTGCTACGGGCGGTAGTGGTGTTGGCGCCGGCGGCGTTGGAACTGGCAACGGCGGCATGGGTTCGCCGGGCATTAGCACAACTGATATTATGCGCACAGGCATTTCAAACAGCAACAATAACAATAATAACAACAACAATAATAATTATAATCGTCAGTCATTTATGCATCAGCAACAGCCGCAGTATCACTACCACCATCAATCCGATGATATAATAATCAATAATGTTGCCGCCGTGGCGACGGCAACCCTGGCACCCTACATCCAGTAACGAAGAATGCCCAATGGTGAATTTGACAACAGATAGGAGAGAGCGCGCGCACTCTTTTTTTCCATTCGAATCGATTACGTTCAACAACACTTTTTGTGTGTAATTTTTTCCAACCTCTTTTGTTCAAACTTAATTTAGTTATTATATATTATATAATAATTAATAATACTATATAATAAATTTAAGAGAAAAAACAACAAAAACAAATAAATTTAAAATTAATGAGATAAATATAATAATAATAAAAAAAAAACAAAAAACAAATACATCACACGTATAGGTAAACGCGGGTGTGACAATTCACCATTTCTATCAAACAACAACAAGAATAAGAAGAAAAACAAAAACAACAAAAAAACCAAAAAAAATTATTTGTCAAAATAATTAAGAATAAATAAAAATTATTATAAATAAATATAAAAAATATACAATAACAAATGTTTTATTTGAAGAAGTGCGGAATTTTTAAAGAATATTTTTTTCAGGGACCAAAACAGGCGTGAATTTATTAAAGAATATTTTTCAGGGACCAAAACAGGCGTGGATTTATTAAAGAATATTTTTTTCAAGGACCAAAACAGGCGTGGGTGTTGCGTAGGGGATGATAGATACCAAGCAACGGCTCTGATTAGCTTTAACATGGCGAAGTCCAGGCTTATCTTGGTCCCTCTTTCATCTCAATTGTGGACACCGACCTCCCCGCGGTGCCACCTGGGGAGCTATTTTCATCACCCGATGAAATAGTGAGCTAATATGTGTCGCGAGTTCACCCATAAGAACTATAAAAAAGTGGGTTGAGGCGTCGGGTTAGTTGCCCACTTTTGGAAAATCCAACCTACTATGAAAAAGCAAACCAAACCCCCTAATGTTGACGACCCCCGCAAACGTATAAAGGACCACGATCTGCTAATCTGCACTTGGAATGTTCGCAGTGTTCGCTTTGGTGGATGTACTCAAGAAGTACAAATCCGATATTATTGCCTTACAGGAAATGTGATGGAAAGGAACTGGCGTAAGTAAATCAGATGATTACGCCCTGTATTATAGCTGCAATGAAACGAGACATGATTTATTGTTAACAGGAGGAAAAAGACCTTGTTTCCAGATTCACTCCAGTAGATGAGCGAATTGCTATAATCCGTATAAAAGCGAAGTTCTTCTACAACAGTCTCATTTGCGCCCATGCTCCGACCGAAGATAAAGATGAACAGACCAAAGACATATTTTACGAGCGCCTAGAAACAGTATATGATCGCTGCCCTGGCCATGGCATTAAAATTCTGCTAGGAGATTTTAATGCGAAAATCGGAAGGGAAAATATTTTTGGCCCCACCGTCGGAAAATTCAGCCTCCATGAAGAAACATCAGACAACGGCATGAAGTTGATTGACTTCGCGGCAACAAGAAACATGATAGTTAGCAGCATCAGATTCAAGCATCTCGATATACACAATACCACTTGGATTTCTTCCGATCGAACAACGAGAAATCAAATCGATCATGTTGCGATAGACGGAAGACATTCATCCAGTGTTTAAGACGTCCGATCTATCCGAGGAGCGAATATCGATTCGGACCATTACCTTGTGGCAGCCAAGGTACGGAAATTTGACGTCGAAAAGCTGCAAACACAACAGATAGCAGAAGCCTACTCCGCTCAACTTATCCAACTGCTTGAGAAAAGCCCCCCTTGTCCCGATAATAATATAATGTCGTAATGCTA